CTTTGCACCAGCTAGTTTTTCAAGCTTAGATAACTGTCATATTTTACTGAGGCATCAAACAGCGTGTTTCTAGGCCTTCTTCTGTCAAGTTTGCAGCACCTCCACCGTGCATTCTCACCAGATGTTCCCGTGAAAAGGTTTCTAGCGGAAAAAAGTCAATTGATAAAACTGAGACTGCTACCTTCTTTAGTGGGCTTGACATTCGAAAGGTTGGAAACAGTCACTGCGAAGGAAAAAAAATTGTTTTTCATTTGAGCTTTAGAGTTTCGTAGTGCATTTTGACCTTTCTATAAACTTTAGGGTCCACAGCAGCAGGTTTTGTACAAATCATATTGTATTTATTTGAAAATGTTTATTATTGTGTAATTGTGAAATGTTTCTGACTGTCTGTGAGAGGATTTTATAGACGTTTCTTGCATTTTCATTGACATACTAAATGAAAGTCGACAGAGGGTTTGATGCCACTTCGGTACGCGTTCCTTTCATTTTATTGTTTAGATGTCAGCTTCCACAAACTTTGAAGTACTTATGTATTTAAATGACAAAACACACTTGCCTAATTGTGTTCTTTTAACAGTTTTTTTTTGTTGTCTTTTTGGTACAAGGGACAGTCTTCTTCTTGCTTCAAAGCACTTGAATTATTTTAATGGTACGACAAAAATCATCACCACAGTTAATTTTTCAAAGCACCTTCAGCATTTATTAGCACCTCTAATAAAGACAAAGCCTTAAAAATATATTCATTAGTATTTCAGGAGCATAACTCCGCTCTGAAATTTTCACAGAAGTGTGCTTTGGATATACTTCTTACCGTCTTACTTACAGTGTGTGACAAGATAAACACTTTCTTCACAGTATTGAAAAGCGTAGATATATTTTTGACTTGGATGAGAAAGAAAAATATGGAAACTTATTTGGAAAATTAGTTTCTAGATTTGTTTTATCATCTAAAAGACAAAACCTCAGAATGTCTGAAAAATTTGTATTGTATACATTCATCTTTGATTTGCTACATAGAAATTTTGGCTTTTTTATCGGTCGTATTTGTATCTCGGTGACAGAACCCTTATTTAAATGTTCGTCCAGAAAGTGAAAAAAAAGAACAGTTTCACCTTATTACCTTTTAGAGACTTATAGATCAATAATTTCACATCTTTGTGGTTTTTGATGCACCAGGACCACAGAGCCAGCAGATTTAAATTCTTACATATTCCACAAGGTATCAGAGATCACCAGCTGCTTTCCAGAATCTACGTTTAGCATAATGTAATGCACTCTGGATTTACAAGGAGTTATAGATTTTTAAACGATTGGTGATCTAATTTGCCAGGAAAAACTGTGAAATTGTCCTTCACCGCATCTCTGAATCAAAAGCCAAATTCAGCATTGTGATTTTTAGGATCTGTGGATCACACTGCTAATGAAATCAAACTAGTGAGATGTTTTTTACCCCAATGTCCAAAATGTTGTAAAAACTACAAAAAATATCTACAAATGTGTTTTGAACAGTGTAGAATTTTTTATTTTAAATTGTAGGAAGTAACACAATTTAAAATAAACATGGGGGCTCATTCAGTTTTGATTTGTCAGTGCTTTTACGAAATAAAATTGATCTGACTCTTTCTAAGGTAATATTTAGATGGATTTCTATTTTATTTTCCTGTCTTCTAAATATCAACACACATCTGGCTTACTTGAACTGTATGTTCTCTTATCTTTCTCAAATTAGAGCGCCTCAGTGAAATTCGCTGCTGTCTCACGCCAGTTATATCACAGGAAAAATTGGATTTCCCTCTTTCATTTTTAATATTATTTTACTTTGCTATTTTAATAAATATCATAGGTAATGCAATGCAATGTAATGCAAAAAAATTAGTATTGTGATTAACTTTTGTAAAATATACATTAAAAATGAATCAGTTTCACTATTTGTAAATCATCTTACAATATTTTTTATAAACCAAATAATTACCACTTAAATGTTTTTTTTTTCTTAACTGATGAAATGTTCTCAAATTAAAGGCTTTTTTTTCCTTCCGTGTGATTATGCTACTCCATTACAAGATGCATTTATTTTTAAAGTCTTTTTACACATCTTTAATATGGGTGCCAATGAATTCAGAAGGTTTGTATGTGTAAACTTTGAGCACATACTGTATTTTAGATCCATCTACTTAACAGCTTGTACTGACTAAATGCCAGCTAATGTGTGTATATAGTAAAAGCACTATTTTAACCAACTGCTATTCACAGGAAATGCGATGTAATCTTGTACCTGTTTGTGAAATGTCAAGTTTTTTTTATTACTATTTAATAGCAATTATGAATGTCCATCTTGGTTTTTTATTTTATTTTTTTATTTTAGTTGATTGTAACAAAGTGGCAACTAATCAGAAGTGAGTGAAGTGGTACAATTATTTTGGTACAAGCATTGAAAGATGAGTTTGGTACTTAAATTTGAGAAAAAAAGGAAAAAAAACTACTTAAGTATGTTTACTTGGTTGTAATTTTGCTGTATTTTTTTATCCCTCTTTGCCACAGTATACTCCCCTTGCAGAAAATTACTGTCAGCTGTTTCCACCCATATCCAAATATTAAAGTGTTGCAGTATCTTCAGCTGGTTTGTCTCATGATGGAGCTTGTTTGTGGTTTAAGAACACACAGCCGACCTGTTCTGACGGGTAATCGATTCTTAAATGATGCACATTTTAAATACTCTTTTCCTAATGTTGGATCTTTGAATGAGTCCATGCATTTGACCCTTAGTGCTCTACAGTAGGAAAGTACACATTTCAACAAGAACGTAATGGTGAGTGTTATTTATATCCTCCTGTGTAAGAAGAGCAAATATTTGAGGGTATTGCTCCCCTATGCAGTAATGTAGCTGCATATCAGGTAATCAAATTTAATGTTCTCAGAATGCTATGAAGGACCTCTAAGGAAATGCCAAATGGAGATGTTTTAGTGCCAAATCTAATCAGGACAACATATATTAGTAAACCTAAACTTACTTCTGCTCTTTCTCCTCCTATCCTGGTCATATAAACACAGATTTTCCCCTGCAGGGAGGGCGGGTCTCGTCAAGGTTTACAGAAGTGCACCCCTCCCTCTGATGTCTCCCCTAATGAGGCCATGTGTTCCTCCTGAATAAGCAGCAGACAACTCTGTAGTGACACCCGCCTTTGATCAAAAGGCAAAGCCCGTTTTGGCAGTTACTGTCGCATCTGCTGCTGCGCCCCGTCAAGTTTCCAATATTTACAAGTAAATATTTTATCACATGAACTCTTCTATTAAACGATGAATATTACAAAATTTATTTGTTTTTTATTCTGAGGAGCACTCGCAATGACCTTTAGACTATGTGTGATCTTTGAAAGAAAAAAAGACATTGTGGATTCGACGATAACATAAATATACTGTAGATGAAGTGATAGTGAAGTACACGTTTGGAAAACCACTCAAGGTTTTCCAAACAAAAAATTTGTAATGTCTCGTCCAGTGCCAAGCATCCTTGCACACCACAGGTTTCCATGCATTTTAAACTGATTTTGTGACTGACCAACACAAAATAGTGTTCAATTGTAAAGTGGAAAAATTATGCATAGTTGTTGACAGTTTTCTGAAAAATCTGAAAAGTGTGGCATGCATTTGTGCATTTGAGTCAACACTTCATAGAACCATCTTTCGCTGCAATTAGATGTACAAGTCTGGAAACAAACATCTTTGGACATTTTTCTTGAGAATTATTAATTAGCTTGACAGCTGGGCTGACCCGGTCATTTTAGCACATATATGTACTTTGCTCTGAAGTTCAACAATTATTACAACTTCTCAAAATAGTTATGGAGCGAGTGCCACACTTCCCAGGGCGACACCTCCGGCTTCTGGGAGTTGGATACATTGGTGTCCCAACACTTGCTGTGAAGGTATAAAATTGCAAAGTCAAAATTATTTTAAGTCATGTTTGAGATATACAACACATATATAAACAGAGAATAACATACTTACTTGATTGGGCTGTAAAATGCCATAATATATCTGTAAAATACATAATCCAGCCTCTTGAACTTAAGGCTAATGGCCTTGGTGGAAGGAAAACAACATGTACATGCAGTGAATCATTTAAGACCATGGTTTTATTTGAGTACTTCAGAAACAAACTAAACATGGTGCCAGTTCACCAGGAATAAATGCTGGTTGAGTTATTGTGAAGCAAAAGATGACATGACATCATACCCTTGATTTTTGTTTTTTTTTAACAGTTCCAAATCTGACAACTCGTGGGATTTAGTAATGTACAAGCAGTGACATTGCTAACTGCTATTAGCATTTGCATTAGCATTGAATCATTCTTGTCTGGTTGCAAGTTTTTTGGGGTTTTTTTCTGTCTACAAACTTTCTGAATTTTTTTGTGTAAAGTTTTCTCTGTGTGAAAAGAGCTGGGTTGTTGTTGGTGGAGTTTGAGCCAGTGGAGGTGGGGGGTATCAAATCGTGCCAGAACCACCACTGGTTGACTCACTAATACATTCTCATGCACTCAATTTTATATTTCAACCAGATCACAGTAATTTACGACTCCCATGGTACTTTAAAAGTAGGTCACATCCATCTATAACTAGGTTAAGGAATAAAGCTCGTCTGTCTGGGCTAAGATATTTTTTTTCTTATAGCCTAAATATCCCCTTTTTCCCACTTTCCATCTTCCATCCACCCTCCCATCTCGTTTCCTCTCCATCCTTGCGTCATTGTTTTGAATGGAGCACCCTTCAAGAGTTGCATTACCCTGCTTTGCAGGAAGAGGGGGAGCGGTTGGGGCTTGTGGAGGCGTGTGCGGCATCGTCCAATTGCAGCCCGTCTCGGCTGCCGGACCGCACATGTTTACAGGCAGCGATCCGCCGGTAAAGGCCCCGCTCGGTCGGAGCAAAGAACGGACTGGATTCAGAGCACAGTCGGGGCCAGAGTCACCAAACGGTACGGTCTTGATCGTATTTCACGCTTGCAGCAGGTCGGCGGGGTGTTTTGCGGGCTAGAATAAAACAGCTCGACGTCTTACGACGTCGCCTGCCTGCGCGCGGGACCTTTTGACTCGATTGCGTCGCCATTTTGTTTAATCGTGAACGAATGTTGTCGTGGCTTCAGACGGCCGTGACCGCGCCGCGTTTTCCCGCCGCCCCCCCTGGCAGCTCGCTGGGAGCAGTGGGGAAAACAAACAGGTCGCACCGAGGAAGGTTGGTCGCCGGTTAGATTGGAGGCTGTTCTGCAGCGAGCGGTTCGTGTTTATATGCCGTCTGTCGCCGAGTCAAAGTTCTGCGGCTCGAGTCCCCTGCGTTCGGGACGCGCTTCGGAAGTTTCTGCCTCCCCCTCCGAGTATGTTGTCGCTTTCCAACATTGCCGCCGAGGTTGTTGGAGCGCGTAGTCTGCCCGCTGCGGTCCTGTGCCATTCCCCGACGTTTTGTTCACCGCCGGCCGCGTTTCGGCGTTCGGCGAATTGAAGTTCCCCGCTGGGAGCGCTCTGCACACGGCGACACACTCGGTGGAGATGCACACCAGGCGCCTGGTGAAGCGGTCGATCCTCGGCAGCCGCGTTTACGCAACGAGCCCGACTGGGGACGGTGCCCCGGTGACAGGAGTGGTCCAGGCTGTCAAGCAGGAAAACAGGGACGCGTCCGCCGCCGGACCCCGGCGCAGCGTGTACACCGTGCTCCTGCAGGACGGAAGCCTGAAGGAGTTCTCCGAGGAGGAGATAGCCGCCGGATCCAACCACACGGCGGCCAAAGGACCGCTCAAGTCCAGCCTGAAGGTGTGTGCCTGCCTCTCTGCGTGTTTGAGGACGGAAAGGGCCCCGACCGGCGGGCTGCGCTTCATCACTGTTGTGCGGTGTTTTGCAGCGTTTAACCGCTTCCTGCACGGAGCGGATTGATGTCAGCCACCGATTCCGCTCTCTGCAAATTTAGGTGGTTAAAACCAAACATGCATCGGTCAAAAATGTGGAATAGATCCGTTTTGTTGCCTATTTAATCAAATAATGTGCTGTCATGACATTTGGCGATGACACATATGTGGGACAAAGAGGGCTTGATGGGGCCTGCGCAATGTTTATGTGGGCTGGAGGGTGGGTAATATGAAGGAAACAAACACGCTCTGACTGCAGCTGCAGCGTTTCGGACCGACGCGAGGAACGCGTTGTACAATTTCGCACTGAACAATAATCGCATGCAATTTTGTACGTGCAGCATTTAAATGCATGTTTTCTTTTGTCGAATTTGCGTCATTTTGGCACATTTATTCATCCAGCATCCAGAATAATCACTGACGTTCCAGTTTTTGCAAGCACAACGGGCTTATTTTATTCAGCACTTTTGGGAAAACTTGCAGTTTTCTGAATCTGCTCTGTAAATAATTTGACTTTTTCTAATGTTAGACCGCCGGTTCTTGCTTGAATTGCGCCCTTTTTTGGTCTCAACAACAGTTGAATAACAAAAGTAAAGATGCTCTTGAGTCAGAGATTAGAATTGGCCAATGCTACTTTGATCAGGGAGCATACGCGGGGGGCGGGGGGAATCTGATGTATTTAGACTGGTGTCTAAATACACCGTTGTAGACTGAATGCATCAAAATAATCAAAACATCACATTTTATTGAGTGAAAAAAAGCCGATCTGTAATAATCTGAATTGGTGTCAGAATTGAAAGAAAATTGGGATTAGCCTGGTAAATATTGATATGTGCATCTCTACAATAAAATAGTAAAAGATGCTTTTTTTGTGTTTACATAAAATACAGATTTCAGGTCTCAAGTTTTTAAAATAATTTCTGCGTGGGGTAGATGGATTCTTAATTATTTTCAATTTTGTGGCTGAGATTATGAAATCCAACACAGATTCCCTGCAGAACACTGAAGTTGCCCTTAACTTATAATCACAGTCATATTTCTTTGCATTGTTTTCAGTGGGCACAACACTAACCATCTCCATGCTGAGAGGACCTGCATTATGAACAATAGAAAGCTTGATTGGGGTCTCCCATAGGGTGTGTTGCTCTGCGCAGTGAGCGATGTCGTCTATATAAAAATATAATCACTATGAACGGGATGTCATGGTGTGAAGATAGCATGCAGCTACATTGCAATTCTCTCTTAAAATATCCAAATGTGAGGCAACAATGGTGATCTAATGGCAAAACTTGAAAGATAGAGAGTGTGTGAGCAGCAGAAGCCAGTTCAGTGTTTTCTGCTACGGGGAAAGCTTGTGTTATTCTGTCCTTACAGTAAGGGAGGGACTGAGAAATGAGTAAGTCTGAGTAAACAGCTATTTTTTTCCACTCAGACTTGATTTTTTTTTTTCACAGATGAAGTAACATGCTTTATATTTCTGGAGCAAAAAAAGGAAACCTGTGGTCACTTTTGTTTCCTCACATTTTTTACTGTTGGTAGCAGCATTCAGATTCCAGGCCTCTGTTGCAAAGGCTTATAGATCCTTTACTAACTTAACTTTTTACAAAACCAATCATTTTTAAGATCTTTGAATGACCTGGAGACATGTTTGCCTTATTTTATTTTTTTCTTTTCTTTATTCGCACTTTGGTCATTTTCACTGCAGTTTCACTGTAGCGCTACAGTCACCAGTGCAGGCAGAGTGCAGCTGAGGCTCGCAGCACAATGGTCAAGTCTCTTTCAGCACGACTCAATTCCTACCAAGGTCGAAAACAAGCCATAAAGCGAGGAGTAGGAGGAGTCTGCTGTGCAGTGTGTGCAGCTTCACGTGTGGGTCTGTGCTGCTTATGGTGTGCATCAGAGTGTGGTACGGCTGTAATTTTCCTCTGGTGTGTGTTATTACTAAGCCCAAACTTCTCGAAACCTTGGATTGGGTCCTGTTTTTGAGAGCTTGCAGCCTCGTTTGAGCAGTAGCAGCTGTACAGCCAATAAAGCAGGCACCCTCAGGTTGGCAACGGGTGGCATGCCCCAAAGAATCTGGATGCTTGGCACCAAGCCCAGTCTGTCAAATGAATCCCCCCCTCTCTTTTTAAGGGGGGGCCGAACTGGGCGCCACTTGTTGACTCGTTTATTTGCAAAGGTATGTTTTGTATCTCGAGCGACAATAATTTTTTTTGATGCTCAGAAAAAAAGACCAGCTTGTTGTGGTGTTAAGCCTCCGCCTGCGCAAGAGTCAATAATTGTTGACAGTATTGTACAATCTTTTGAAATTTCTCACTGGAGTCATAAGGTGAGAAACTTATTTCTTAAGAATGTCTAAAGTAAAATTTATTTAAGAAAGATCACACTGCCTTGTAAATTCTTACAAATAAATATTTTCTTTTAGACTGCTCAACCTACAAAAACAGTAAATTCTCACCAGTGCCAGATTTTTACAGTTCCTCTGGAGGCTTCTTTAACTTCTTTGAAACACAGATATTTGAATATTTTTTTTTATATGCGTGTACCGTATTTTCAGACTATAAGCCTCTACTTTTCCCCACGCTTTGAACCACGCGGCTTTCCCGTGAATTTTTTCTTCAACTTCAATAATTCACTTTCTTCAGCAGGAAGTGAATCATTGGGAATCGAAATAGGAAATCAAAGAAGAAAGTGCTTATTTTCATTTAGAACAAGCACATGCCTGCAGCTGGCACGACGGAGAAATGTTTTCAAACTCGTACCCTGTCAACAAGGCAACAACATGAAGAAGTTCATACGATGCAGCTTTTTAAGTTGAAGACTATCGATCTGGCAGTGCAGATCCATAGCTGCTGCATGTAAGCTCGGCGTGAACGAATCCATGGTTCGGCGTTGGAGATGCAGGGCTGCGTCCTTAACAGCAGATGTATTCAATACGCAACCCTCTGCTGCGTCCTTGTGGAAAACTGGCGGAGATACCAGCGGCTTATAACCCGTTGCGGATTATAAATGTAAGTTTCCGGATTTTTAAAAACACTTTGTGGGTGCGACTTAAAGGGAGGTGCACTCTATGGTCCGGAAAATACGGCATACATTGCTGACTTGGACGTTTTGCTGCTAGACTCAGTCGTACCTTGAATAAGATATCAAGTCCAAAAGGAGGTGTAGAGGAGGGCTGGAGAAACATGAGAGCAAGGAAGGAGGACTGTCTTACTTTGATCATGATTTGAAATGTGTCACCTCAGTAGCTTGGATTTCCTAAGAGGACCCAGAAAAAAACTGTAGGAGTGCACAGAAATTTGACTGTAGGAGCAAATTCCTCACTCGAGCAGCACTTCAGCTAGTTTTCAGGCTACATGCACTGAAACAAACTGCAGAGCCTTAATAGTGAAGCTCAGATCACAGGGCTCGCTCACAACAGATGGCATGATCTGAAACGTGTCGAGAGAAGCTGGTCAACAAGTCAATTTTTAACAGTTTGGTGTGAAATTTTCCATCTTCGGTGTGGAAAAACATCACCCGTGTTACCTGAATTTAATATCCTTACATCTCTGTTTTCTGTTAGCTCAAAGGTGTTTCTACAGTCCACAAACAAACATCTCTGTGTCCACAAACACACACTGCTCTGACCTTTTGTGTCATTGTTGTCCCTCAGATTTTTTTTGTTTGTTTGTTTGTTTTTACAAAGGCCTGAAAAAGCATTTTAAAATGCTTTCTGTGAAAGATTCTAGTCTTTTGAGAACTCATCTGTTGCCTAAAAGTCTCATTCGTGTCTAATCATGTAGCTGATCTGTAAGGCAACAGTCCAGATCACCCACGAACTCATAAACACACACCAACCTGAAATACTCCTCAAAGCTCTATTGTCATTGACAGCTGTGTGAGTCACTCTGCTTATGTTTTGGCCTTTACTCTGATTGTTTCAACAGGCCTTCAGGCACAAAGATAGAGCTACAAAGGCATGGTGGTGTGTGAATTCATTCTGAGATTCAGGCATTTTATTTTTGCTTCCATGAAAGGAAGCAACAACGATTACGTTTATTTTATTACAAACTTTGCTACCTAAGGATGCATCTGCAGCATGTGATGGGACAAATTGTGTTTTTCTGTGATGATATTGTTGTTGCTCTGGTGAGTAAATGTTTTACTTCAGTCAGTTTGTCAAATACTCCATACCAAATTGATATTTTGTCTCTTTTTCAGTTTTCTTCATTGATCTTGATTGGAAATGAGTCGGACTCGATGAAAATGGTGAAAGAAATGTAATTGTTCTCCACTGAGAGTCTGACCACCATGGTCAGAGTCTAATGTATTCCAAGTGTTATGAACTTAAATTTTACAAATTAGTGTAATATTCAGCCTTTTGGTCAAAGTCTCATGGCAACAGATACTCACAGAGTGACAGAAGATGAAAATAAGGGAAAGAAGAAAATAGAAACATATTACAACTGATGTAGATATTATTTTTACTATTATTATCACCACTGTGAGGTTTACTAATACTGTGCAGTCCTAATAAAATCTGAACAAAGTGCAGCTAAGAATGCAGCTGAAACTTTTCAGAGATTGAGGCATTAAGAATGAAATATCAAACTTGAGCACTGGACATAAATGTCCAAGAAAAGGTTAGTAATAGCAAAGACTCCAGCTTTAATGCGAGTCAGGGCTTTGTCCAGAGGTAAGAAGAAATGTGGTCAGAAAGCAATAGCTTGGAGACCTATTAGACCGGCACTGTACCTGGGAAGTTAACTGTAAAAGTCCCATCTTTCTGAACACAGTCAATCTGTGTTTTACTCATGAGAGTTTAACTTTCCCACAGTAATATAAGTCTTCAATGTTATTACTAATGTACACCACAATATCGCTATATGTTGATCCTAAGTTATCTTTTTTATTACATTTCGTTTCACCTTCAAAACTTGAGTCAAGCTAATGCTGCATATCTACTGGTTGGATGGGAAATCAAAGACATTATGCTCACAAACAACACCTCTGTTTGCCCTGTAGGTACGACAACTGACCCAACCAGATCTACCTCTAGAGGACCTTTTTGGTATAGACTCCATTCTTCTTCTGTGTTGCCAATAAGCTGCATCACATACATTCTTTATATTTCTGCTGAATGAGGTCTACAAAACAAACAATATTTTTAAAACTCTAATAAATAGCCATGCTGTGCTTTTATATTCACTATATTTGCACTATATGGTAGTGTGCCTTCCACTTTGATTAGGATTTATTTGGGATTTAGTTAGGTTTTCTGTGATATGAAAACGTTTGCTATTTACTAGTTTTCAGCCTTTGAGATATAAAAATTTAATTTACCCCAAGAATTGAAAGGCATATTTTCATTTTATCGTGTCTATAGTTTCACTAATCAGCTCTCTTCTACTAAGTATGCTTGCATGTTTATTTAAACTGATTCCAACTACAAAGGCCATAAGAAAGGCTTTGAAAACCCCGTTGTAAAGAACTGAAAGACAGTCCACTGTTCCTTGTGTTTTAGGACAGATTGAGGAAGCATGAACGCTTCCTTCCTTAAAAGTTCAGAGGATCCACCCAGCTCATATCATGACCCCTGCTGAGGTACTTCTGAGTCAATTTCACCCAGTTAGGAGGAATAGACGTATATCAGTAGGGGATTCTGACAACATAATGAGCTTCTGTAGAATAATCTTGGTTTCGCTGTATTGAATCCCCCCGCAAATGTAAAAATGCGTGACCTGATCTAATTACTTTTATTAAAAAAGCTGCCGCTGTCACGACCACAACATGTAAAGGTCAGAATGGGCTTCCTGTATAGGTTACAGAGCTAACATAAAACAGATGTGGACAGTGATGGAAGGCTTAAAAAAAAGTAAATGTCAGATGAGGTGAGATGCAAGTCTGAAATTTTGCATGTTTATGACAGATTGTGGTGTATTCTGTTCTGTTTTTGTGAATAAATGCTGATGTTGGCAGTGCAAGGAGGAGTAACATTTACCCCATAATACCACACTGTGCAAAAAGACATGTTAATTCACACAGCTTTTTGTCAGTGATTATTATATTTAAGAAGCTTGTTTGGTGGCATTATTCTCAGCCAACTTCATCATTTTTGTTAGGTGGTTTTCGGTTTCAGTTTGTGGGAACTGTTTATTTTTTTCTCTGGAAACTGCGATGATTTAAAGTAGCATTACCAATTTAAAGCTAAAACTGAAAGATGTCTAATAAACATACTTCTTTAACAAGAAACAGTGGTTAACCGTCCCAGTTCTAGAGTCAAGTTATGGTCTCAAAACTTCATCTGTCTCTCAGTTGCATAAAGAACCAAATGGGCTGTTTGGAAATATTTCCAGTGATGTTAAGCATGGACAGCCATTATAGGGACTGAAGAACCACAACTATTCTTCTTAAGTTTACGCTATTTCAACTAGCAAATCTGTTAATCTGCATGACTGGAGGTCAAATGCCTCCAGCATTTAACCAAATTACAAAAGCTTGAACTGCTTGTGTTGTTGCTATTAGAAGCAGAACAGCAGAAATCTGCGATATTCTTCAAAATAATGGTTAACTTGAAACCTGCTACTACATTAAGTTGTTCGATTTTCCGAAGTCGTTCTTAAAAATGACATAATTACATTATAATAACATGAATTGTCATTATGTCAGTGTGCTTTTGCTGGAGTCTGAATATTTATGTTTATTCTTTCAAATAAAGGAAATGTCATATCAAACATTTAACTTTTAATACACTTTTGTATTTTATCGACGTTATTATTTTTGTTGCACTCTCCCTGAACATTTGTGATTTTGTTTGACCTATTTTGCACTGCTGTTCATGTAAAGCTGCTGGAAACCCAAGGATGAGTATTAAAGAACTTGAGACTTTACCTTTACATGTTTTGCTTTAGTTATACGTATTGTGCCAAGTTTTTCTTTGTGTACTTGGACCTTTTTCACATAATATTATTTGTAGCTGTATGTGGGAGGACATAAAAAAATATAGTGAATATATTGAATAATGTCCAGTATTTAAGAGTTTTCTAACTTGCAGTTTTGATCTTCTTTGCCTTTGTGTTGACTTACTGAAAACCGTAACCTTGCAATGTAGGAATAGTAATGTACTTAAAGTGCCTATCTCTGGACGTGACCTAAATGAAATGTTTAATGTTTTTTCATAAGTTATAACTTATGAAAAAGTTATAACTTATTCATAAAAGTTATAACTTTTATGAAGTTATAACTTCATAAAAGTTATGAAGCAATAAGATGGAAAGCAATAAGACTTTGCTTTCCGTTATTTAAAAAAGAAAAAGTTTTTTGCATAGGACATTTTCTTTGAGGAAAACCTCCAAACGCCAAAACGTCTGCAGGAAAAAGAGCTTTGTTTATAACTGACCACTGCACATCTTTTGGTTTCTCCAATATATTTTGGAACAGCCTTTTAAGGTTCAGGATCCCAGAAATTGTTCTGAAGCCATACTGTACTCCTTCATTTGAAATGTAAATATGGAATTATTGTCAGTATTTAGATTACAAGTTCAGACAAAGCCAAAACCTACCTCACCATCTGGTTCTGGCTTAAAAAACATTTTTTGTATTGTAAAGCTTCTCCATAATTGTGTAATATTATTAAATGTAACAAAAAAGTTATATTTAGGACTGTTTCACCTGCTGCAAAGCTGCTTGACTTATTTTCGAATGTGCATTTCTCATGTTTACAACATTCCTTGCTCGGAGTTGTGGCAAGCTGTTTTTGTTTCAGTGCAGGGAGTGACTTATTCCTCTGTTCACCCCCTGACAGCAGAGCTCCAGTAACGGGGTTTCAGATGGTCACAAGTTGGAGAGCGGCTGCTGGAGCCCAGAGGCAGTGGAAGAGCAGAGGCCTGGGGACGGGAAGCGAGTTAGCCGGGATCCCGACGCCCGATCCGTGTCCCTCCTAGAGCAGAAACGCAAAGTGGTCTCGTCCAGCATTGACGTCCCACATGCCAGGTAAGACCCTCTGAGAATAAATGCGTTCAGGCGCATACCAAATATGAGGAACTGACTGTCTGTGTGGTTCCCAGAGGGACTTTGGCGCATGTTCCAATGCAGAGTTCATGGAGAGTTTATGACACCGATATGTCATCTGACAAGTAGGACACAGTTTATGCTGGACGACGTTCCATTTCTCGTCATATCCTTGAAACCATTTTGGCAGCATGCAGAGTCTGATTTAATTTGGCAGGTGTCCATTTCTGCTGCTATTACACATACATATTTTATCCCATCCCACATGTTCTTTCACACAAGTAATGTCAGTGTCTTTAGATGATTAATTACCAACCAAAGTTATCTGAAGCAAAATTATAACCCTGTCCTGGAAGATTCTGGGCTGTTCAAAGCCAAAGTTACATCAGTAGCTATTCTTGAAAATGTATTCATACCCTTTGAACTTTGTTAAATGTTGTCACATTACAACAACAAACCACAAAATTAATCTTTGAGAGTTCATGTGCTGAAGCAAGTTCAAGGAAAAGAGATCTTTTTTTTTTATGTTTTGGTCTACAAGCAAATCTCTAGATGTACCATCCTCTCTGAAACATGGTGATGGCAGCATCATACGTCAGCAAGGACAGAGATTCTTGTCAGAAATGATAAAATTATGGAACTAAGTACACTGCAGTCATAGAAGAAAACTTGTTTGATGCCGCTGTGAAAGTGAGAGTGAATGCAAGCCACACTTTTCAGATGTTCACCATCACTATGAAGCACGTTAGTACCAGCACGTACCTGCACTTTAAAGGGATTTAAAGATGCACTGAATGCTGTAAGCTTTACCTGAGCATAGTCAAAGTAAGATGGTGTATTGATTATTTCACAGCTTCAACAAGTAAAGCCATTTTCGTCCTCCCAGAGACAAGCACTTTATGAACAGTCCTAACATTGGTCATTAAAATCAGACCAACAACAAAAATGCATTACAGCGTAGCTTATAGCACAATCAGTCCACACCGATCGCTATTCTCATTATAAATGTGGAGAGAAGTCACAACTTATCAGTCTCAAAACTAAGTGCCCATTGTTCTCATAAAAATAAATGTTGCTATTTTGCAGTCATTTCATTATCATTACAGAAGGAGATATGAAACACCAACATGCTGTGGATTAAAAATGTAGGTTCAAAAATATCTATTTTTTTTTATGCTTATGGACATTAAAATTTTTACTTTGTACACTTAAAGGGGATGAGGCTATTATGTAGAATCAGCATTCTTGAGCTTTACATCACGCTATAGTGTTATCCCCCTTATCAAAAACCTACCTGGAGTGTTGCTTTGATTCTTTCATGCATGTTTTGAGAAATCCTTAAATCTCCCTTGGCAGCCATTCAGGGGTACCTAAACCCTGGCTTTCACAAAGCAGCATCTATTTCCATATCGCTTCTCCTTGGAGAGCTCATCATACCAACTACTTCTCAGCACAACAGTCCTAAGAATGGCTGAAAATGCCATAATCGGAGGCATTGTTGTGATGACATGCTGAAGGTGGAACGTGGGAAAGAGCAGAAATTTCTTAGAGACGAAGTATAATTTCACGGCATTAAATTACAAAATCAAATTTCTTTTAAGTTATCTTTAATATATATGCAGTATTTTTATTGCAACTAATATAGTCACTTAATTGTGCTCTATTGACATTATGCCAGGAACATACCACCCCTTCAACGTCTTTCATCCTGTAATACCACCCCTTTAATGTCTTTCTTTGTGTCTCTTGGAGACTTTAAAACCAGATACTCAAAGTCCATTAACATGTTCTGCTAAATCAAAGCAACTGCAAAATCAGACTTAAGTTGAAATACATTCAGCTCAATTCCTGAAATATGCCTCCTGAAATAAAACACACTAAAGTTCATTGTTGCCTCATGTTTGTGCAGACTGCGACCTGAGCTTTTTACTTGGATATCCATAAAGTGACCTCTTCAGCACACTGCGGTATTATTACCTCAAGATTAAGATCCATGGCCCTCATCTTCTGCACACCTGCGACAGATTTTCAGTTCTGCCCTAATGCTGGAGGGAAGCAGGAGTTTCTCCTGACACAAAGTTATGAAGAGCTGCAATTAAGACAAGGACAAACCTTTAAAGCCTCCCAAATCACAAGCTTGTCTACCAGGGAGTAATGAATATGTCATGATGTAATCTGAAGAAGGATCAAGGATATTAGAAAACTCATTCTGGTCCCTACAACAATTCAAAAAAAGCTTCAGCAGGTTATAACTTAACACAGTTTAATTTTGAGCAGTTGTGTCTAAGCCTGTCCCGATTAACAATAATGAAATGAATCGCATGATAAATGAAAATTAGTGACCCCATTTTAATTTATCGACTTTATTGTTTCTTCCAGACTTTTTCTCTTTCTGTTGATGACACTGGATGAAAAAAGGCTAAATTCCGGTGCTCATCACTGACATGATTTTGGAGTTGTCGGCCCATTTTCGAAACCTGAGAGACCACACACTAGCCAACAGAAATTATGGGTGTAATGGGTTCAATCATGCCATGTGGTGTCCAACAACGGGCACAAAATAATCGCTACAAGTCCAGTTAACTAATTTTAAAACCAGGCATTAATCAACGTTTTACTACAATCTACCTGCAATGCATGTGGCTAGTGTCAGCGTGAAGTCCTGACTGAATGAATAACTTTATCATTATAACCTATTTATGTCACGTTGACAATGAACAGCTGAAAAGTTACCGGGTTTATCAACTGCGGTAGCAATTTTGCTCCAACTCCTCTCTTTGTAATTTTCACAAAATGTTGAATAAACATTAATGTTGTTTCCACATGTCATCTCCGATGTCCATTGAACTTTGGGTTGTGCCGTGTCAGCTGTTTGCGATTCCCCTCCGTGCTTTCTCAGGGGGAAAATGTGGAGGGGAATCCGTGCTTTCTGATTGGCTACCTGTCACATTCTTCCTAACCTGTCACATTCTTCCTAACTGGGAGCGTGAACTCTCCCAGTTAGGAAGATCCCACACCTTGCAGTGTTAAACTGGCCAGGACAATCCAACATGTTGAATATGCCTGATTTAGATCGGAGCGGTCGAATGTTCTAGCGACTGGACCCGATCAGTCAGAACACACCACACACCAGAGAATGATAGTTGCGACTCTAGCAAGTCTAATCTTAAAACGTTGGACGTTTTCAGACTTCACAATCTGTACTCTTTTGGTTGAATGTAGTTTTTATTTCCACTTTGGTTTTACCAGTTCCAGTGTTAAATGTTCTTTTGAAAATAAAGTGTATTTATTTGTGGTAGGATATCTCTTTCATTATTATGTCATGATCATTACATCAGTTTAAAATGGTCTTCAAACAATATTATTGTTTATCGCAGTAATTTTTAAGACCATTAATTGCTCAGCAAAATTTGTTATTGTGACAGATCATGTTGTGTCTCTATTAAAGTCTTGGATGTTTGTCCACCGTTTCAATTTGTGCTCTGAGCCAGCTGCTGGGCCTGCTCTAAGAGCGAGTGTGTGAGTGTTTTTTCCTTGCAGGAAATGATTTAGCAAGAGTTGGTTGAGGTAGACTGGTAGAAATGAATGGCTTGCCTTTTGATAAATAACATTCTGGAGCCTAATTGCTGTCAGGGGAAGTGAACTGCAGCACTGGTTAAGGGGAAATCAGGAGCATGCTTTGCTTATTACTGCAAAACACCAAAACAACAGCTCTAAGGGTCCAGATCCTCAGACTCAGCAGCCAGTCCTCCCTTTCTATTATGAACTTAAGTTACTCACATTTGGCTCCGTTTCCTGGCCTCTCTGTGATTTTTTTTTTTTTTTTTTTTTGTCAAATAGTCCCACTTGCCTCAAAGTATGGCTTTCTCATAGCTGTAAGTGAAAAACATGGAGCCAGATTTGATGCCACTGCAAAACAATTTGTTAGCGTTGTTTTTATTGTTCATTAGTGTGTTTTCAGATCAGCCAGTTCAGTGGGCCGAGCCAACCATGTGCTCGGCTCTCCGAGTACAGTACAGCAGCCAACTCAGACATGGAGGAACGCCAATCACAAAACAGGAGCCTAGAGGGACTTTCAAATAATTGTTTATCTTTTGATAAAGTGGCTTGTCCAGTAATCCGCTTGTTTTTCGTTTGTGGTTTTGCTTCTCTCTGTGGCCATTTCCTAGCTTTTGGACTGCTTCTATAACTCCCTGTTGGCGTTTGCGGACTGGGTTTCGAAATAAGAGAAAGGAGGAGCGTATAGGTCCGTGCGGAAGAAGAGAGAAGAGTTGATTCTCTGAAGAGAGGGTGAGTGAGTGAGTAACTCTGGGTAAACGTTAAGTGAAGGACAGAGTGAGAGAGCATGTCAGCAGTTGCCAAAGAAAACAGTTTTTCTGGTTTGGATGCAAGTAGATTTGAGAAACCATGAGATTACCATCTGAGACGACAGATCCTGTGATCTCTGTTTCCCACTGACTCTCTGTGTTGCTAATTTCAGCCTTCTCTCATCGGAGCAAATGTAGATGTTTTTTTTCACTCAGCATATTACTGAGTCAGATAGTTTGATAAGCTGATTGCCTTAGCTGTTCAAATTTACTGTAAAAATAGCAACAAAGTGCTTGCAATTACTGCATATGCTGTGAAAGAAGGGTCCTGCGTAATGGAGCCTTCCTACTTTGGAGCCATAATGGCTTTCTTAATTCCAAATGTTATGTAATTTATCATTGTGATTTCTGGAGGCAGTGTTTTCTGAGAACCATTCATTGTAACATTTTCTTAAATTCAACCAAACTGTAAAAAAAGTTTTTGTGGTACATGAAAATATATTGTGGCATGAAAGTTGTGCAATTTTTAAATAAGTCTTAGGCATTACAAGTCTTTTTAAAGTAAGTAAGTGGTTTTACTTACTTACTATGAACACCTAGTTTTATACTTTCCCTCCCTTCCTTCTATTAAATTAACATTTGATTTCTGATGCACTGATTCACCAAAGGCAAAGC